TAGTGAGTGGTTGGGGTGGCCTCAGGCATCCCCAAGGGAGCCTCTGCGGTGCCACATAAGCAGCTTAGTGATTGTCGAGACTTAAAGTGTTTCGTTTGAAGAAACGCAAACCGGACAGACGGTACTATGGTCACCAGTAAACGAAAATTCGACTTTGAGGGATCATATCTCAAAAAGCCGGGAGATAGCATCGCATTATTGTTGCATATTATGCCACATAAGGTCAAACTTGACCCCAGAAGCATCAAGAACCCGATGCTCCGGCTCGACTGTGCCGGCACACTGCCTCCTCGCGCACGCTGCTAGCAGGCCGTTGCGGCCCGTGGTGCACCAGAGAGAGAGGTCGACGCGTTGCCCCCGCCGGCGACCCCGCGCGGCTCAGGCCAGCCAGAAGGTGTGTGGTGACGGCACCGTGGCAGGAGTGCGGAGAAGAGCTCGCCGAACGCGAGCAGCAGATGGCCAAAGTGTGCCAGCGCGAGAGCCTCGCGAGCGGGCGCAGAAGGAGCTCGCCGTGACACGATGCCGGGCGGTGGTGGTGCTCTGGCGACTGTGCACAGTGGGCAAAGTCAGGCTGCAACAGGGCAGCACGTTGGTAGTGCCCTGCTGCAGCCTGGCCTGACATGCACAGGGCGAACAGAGGCGGTACTATCGTCCGGCGCTCGTCACCGAATCTGGGCCAACTTCGACCGCCGCCACAGCTCGCCACGAGCACGCAGCGACAAAATGTTGACTGTATGGAAGTCGAGGCTGGTCCATAGGAAGAGGCTGCCGTGCGAGCCGGCAGCAGGCTGGCTCGTCGTGGACTGCCGCGGCGACTTTTTTCGGTGTCTTTCTTGATAGTACCGAATACGGTACTTTCGTTTACCCACATTCTGCGAGTACATACACTTAAAATGTCCCAAAAGGCGTGTCTCGAGTTTGTTGCAGCTCCGCAGCCAGCGCGGGCTGCCGGGACGCACCGCGAGCTGGATACACGCACTCCCTGGGTCCCAGGGAGTGCGTGTATCCAACTGGAGTGAGTAGGCTCGACGCCGCGCTCGCTGTGGGGCTGCAACAAAGTCGCCGCCGAGCGTGCCATCGAAGGCGTCCCGTCGGAGGTGATGGAGTGTGAGACCTGAGGCTGCGGAGGTGACGCCTGAGGTACCGGCCCGTGTACGGCGACTCAGCCGGCGACCGCCACGGGCTCAGACGAGACTTGTCGACGCGTTCCGGCTCAGCTTCACCGTGATCATCGGGCGTCTGTCGACGTCAGGACCGGTGGTGTGCCGGTGATAGTACTAGCACGCGCCAGTTCGCACCTGTGTCGAGCCTGTCTGCTGTGAGAGAGAGTTCTTTTGTTTAAAATCTTTTCTTCGCCGCGGTACTAGGTTCTCGAGGTTCTCGAGGTTGATATCCTTTGGCCGCGCGGTACCTAGCAAGGCGCGCGATACAGACCTAGCAGTACCTTTAGCGAGCACTGGATAGGGTCGAATCCGCATGGTACGGGACCCCCCGATCGTCTCGCCCTGCCTCGCTGGTGTTTTCAGGGGGGGCGGTAGTCGGTACAGGACGTCGACGCGATGCACGCTCACGTACGCTCTGCTGAAGCAGTGACGCCCCCCCTCTCCATTGCAACTCCATCATCTCACCGGTTGGGAGCTAGCAGCTATAGGTTGGGAGATGTCGGCGGTGTTGGCGTTGTGACCCGCGCGAACACGAGAGGAGCTTGTTCAGCACGATCAGGGGTAGCGGGTAGGCGGAGCGGAGCAGTAGACCTCACTTTCTCCCATGGGTGAGCTTCAGACTCTGCCTCCAGACGCCCTCGCGAACCCAGCGGCCGCCCTAGCAAAAGCCACAAAGGGCCTCCTCTCCGCCCAAGCCTGGCCCAAGCTGGCGGACGCACCTCAATCGGCTTCCCGCATCCCCCGGTGAGCGGCGATGCCCTGGGACGAGAACCGGGCGGGGGGAGAAGTGTGAGCCCCCCGCGCCGCCCCGGCCAACGCCGAACGCGCAACGAGAGGCCGGCGCCGGCGCGCGCTCAAGCGCGCCGCCGGGCGGGCGGGGCCCCGCCCGCGCGCCGGCCGCGCGCCGGCGCGGCGCGCGGCGGCTTGGGTGTCCCTTACCCTTGACTATAGAGACCGTTGGGAGGAGTGACCGTGGTGTCTGGGTTATTTGAAATATTTGAACAGTCGAATACACAAAGTTCCGCACAATGCACCCTCGAATGCACGAGCTCCGTCACTTCTTCTTCTTTGAGCGCTTCCCCTCGCCCTTCTTGGGCGGCGCCTTCCCCATTTTCTGGTTGATCTCGATCCTGTTTAGCCGCTCCTCGTTGAGCGCCTGACGCGGCGGCGGCGCGCAGCTCGGCGTCGGCGCACGCGTGGGGTGAAACGGGCTGGCGGGGCGGGCGCGCGCGGGTGGCAGCGGCAGCGGCAGCGGCGGCGGCGGCGGCGGCGACAACGGCGGCGATGGCGGCGCGCACCATGCGGAAGACCGGGTGGCGCATCAGCGGGTGCGGCTTCGGGTAGTAAGCCGCGACCTTCGGGCCGATGAAGCCGCCCGCGTGCTGCAGGTTCTTGAGCGACTTGTACGGCCGAGGGTCGCGGGAGAGGGACGCGCCAAAGATGCGGTGCCGCGCCTCGTAGACGGAGCAGCGGCTGGAGCAGGCGCGTGACGTGCCGGCCGAGAGAGTCGGCGAGAGCGCGCCCGGAAGCCGTAGTAATCTCAGCATATCGGCGGCGCGGATATCGGCGGCAGCGGCACAGACGGCCCAGCAGGGCTGATGCAAAAAAAAGGCATTTTTTTGGTAAAATTACACTGTGAAAAAGACAGAAAAAGAGAGAAAAAACGCGCGCGCAGCGCGCGTAGGCGGCGCGCAGCGCCGCCGCAGGCGGCGGACAGCAGGTGCGCAAAATTAAACGCCATTTTCGGTTCCGCGGTTTTGGCACTAACATCAAATGATTGACTGATTCGACCACATGCCCGCCATGCGCAGGCCAGCGCCGCGCTGTGATACGCATAGAGACGACCCGACCTCTCTGAACTAAGCCAGATTACTGCGAACGAACGCCTAGCGCGGCGGGGAAGTCAACGGGGCAGCCGGCGGTGGCCGGCCGCGCCCGAGGCGCGAGGGCGTAGACGGGTCACAAATTGCCCGGGACGGCTGGTCACTTGGTCTCTGACGTAGGCCACGCACATGCACATTAAGCGGTGACATGACCTGATTGCTAAAAGAGCCGGTCCGCGAAATTAAATGCCATTCTCCAGGCATCCATTTTAGCACTATCTTCGAAATCCCGGCCGGTACTGTTTTAAGAATGAGTGAAAGAGGTTGTTGGTGTTGTCTCTGAACGGGCTCGGCTGCGCCTGGGTTCGGAGCTTCAACGCCGGCCATTGCGCCGAATAAAACGGCGGCAAGTGCACAGGGGCTTCGGCGAGAGCGTCGATGCCTTGAGCTGCCCGCTAATTGCCAGGGGCTGCACCGCCGTGTACATCAAGAAGAACTTGCAGATGTGCAAACTGTGTGTATGCCGAATCGTGACGGCGGCGAGGACGACACGGACGGAGCAGGCGACAAAGGCGAATCCGACGGCGGAGGCGACGGCGACACGGACGGAGGCGGCGAAAGCGAGACCGATGGCGGCGACGGCGACGGCAAGCGAGGTTGCTGCGGGGAGGGGTTCGAGGTGGCCCCCACCCTGGGGCCTCCCATCAAAGGGACTGCGGCAGAAGACGCCCAATCTTGCACAAGTGCAAGAACCATACTTCCTGCAAGTGCACTCGACCATCGTCGCAAGGCGCAAAACAAAATCTCTCTCTCTCTCTCTCAAGGCGCAACGCCGCCATCTTCGACTACAACGCGTGGCCGAAGATGGGCGGCGAGATGCCGCGGGCGCCTCGGGTGCAGTACGAATAGGGACGGGCGAGGGAGGAGGGGCGCTGACCACGGGCGACTACGTGTCGAAGGTTCGACGACGACTACTCGCCGCCTGGGTCGTTTGGGGCGCGCGGCTCCGTCGAGGACCAGGCGCGCCCCCTACCCGGCGCGGCGTAGGTCCCACTCTGGCGAAAAGAGGGGAGGCCGACGGTCGACAGCCCGATCCATCAACTACACTCATCTTCTGGGGCTTGGCCCCGTGCAACAGCGGTCCGGCAGGCTGCCCCCAAGGCCCCCCGGGCCGCTGCGGGTTTGGGAGTTATGCTTAGGCACAGCTTCGGCGATGGCAGCCCCTCTCTGGGGTGTTGCATAGGCGGGGAGTCTCCCCCGCTGGTCTCCTCATTCCCTTTTTCTTTTTCTTTTGAGAGCAGGACGCCGGGTTTGTCTTGTATGTGCATGTCGGGCCTGGGAGTGTGCGAGGGGCAGAAGGGGCGGGGGCGTGCGGGGCAGAGGCCCAACGTCGGGCGGCCTGTCGGGGTCCGGAGGATTCGAGGCGGGAACGAGGAGGGGCGAATGGGCGGTCGGCGTCGGGGTAGAAGCAGCAGGGCGTACGGGGTAGCCGCCACTTTCCTGCCTCGAAAGGGCGGGGCTGTCCCGGAAAGTGAGAAATGCCGGGCAGCGTGACGCATTACTGAACCCTCCCATACGTGTTCGTGGCTCCTCCTTCGCTGTCCCATCTCCTCATCTCTTTCCCGCCTGGGCGGGGCGGTGGGCGGGCGCGCGGTGCTGTGCGGTGTGTGTTTGCGAGTGGCTGCTACCAGGGACCATTGACTTGTGCTAATTAACAACTCGAGGCGCTCTGCGAAAAAAAATCGTTTGATTTGTCTCCGCGTGCGCGCGCCACCAGAGAGAGCAGCAACGGGGTCTTTGTGTCGTGTGAGAGGTATGGAAAATGAAAAGACGTTTGCATTGCATCGGTGCATTCAGTGGTTGTGGAAAACAGCGTGGCACCCCTAGCACCTCTCTACCAACGAGCTGGCACTTTTCGAAACTTCCGTCTGAGCGTCGGTGTTAGATATCGCTGATGCCATGTAGCACTAAGTTCGTGTGAGCGGTGAAGGGCGGTGGAGCTCCTTCTCAGCATTCACAGATCTCGTCGAGGTATCGACCCTGGGCAGCACTGCTCCTCGAGCATCTCGAGCATGCGCGCGTGGTCGCCCGACTTGAAGAATTGCTGGGTCGTGCGGAATCGCCGCACCGTGCTCTTGCACATCGAGCCCGTCGGGTCCGCCTTGAGCGCCTCCATCAAGTCTTTGTGCTCGCCGTGGTTGCCGTGCACGAGCATGCACGGCGACTCGCACCGATTGGCCGCCCAGAAGCCCGGCAAGCCGATGAGGCCGCCCGTCTGCCGATTCCACCCGCACGGCAGCAGATGCAGCAGGTCGCGGCCGTAGATGCTCATCCACGCGTACATGCTCTGATCGCCGAGGCTGCCAAGCTCACCGCGCTCCGAAAGCGGCGGCAGGGTCTTGTCCGCAATGCGCGCGAGGACGTCGGCGTATCGGCGGGAGTGTCGCATGCGGTCCAGCTCGTGCAGCTGCACGCCCCCATTGATGCGATGGCCGCCGCGTGCGAGCACCTCAGCATACGATTGGCATTGCTCCTCGGCGACGCCGATCACGGCTCGCGCTGCAAATGAGTCGAACTGCGCCCAGAGCCCGGCAATATCTGACACGAAGTAGACGTCGGTGTCGAGGACAACGGCCCTCGGGACCCAAATCGGCAGGATTTGATGCAGAATCGGCTTGTACATGAAAATCTTGCCGTTGCCCGGCGTCGTGGCCGATATCTGTGAGTGAAGCTTGCGAGCCTCGCTTGTCAGGGCCGCGGTCAGAGCGTGAATGTGCACGCGTCGAGTGGGCACGTCGTGCCAAGCCGTGGACGGGCGGTGGCGCGCCTCCTGACGGGCCTCCTCTGTGGCAAGCTTGTACGCCCTCGAGGAGACGATCAGGTGATAGTGTGCGGTGCGCACCTCGCTCCGAGCCTCAATATTACGCACGGTTGCGAGCGCTCGCTTCACGTACGTTTCAAAGTCGGTGCCGAGTGTCAGGAAGGCGACATGCATTTCCTGTGAGCCGAGCCCATTCGGCGACGGCTCAGGCAGATCAGCAGGATTGGTGCAGGCGCCGTGGACGTCGCCCTGTGAAGGGTGTGGTGAGCCGACCCGAAGCTCCATTAAGTGGCACTCCCGGCGGCCTGTTAGCTGCAAGGTCCAGTAGCTACACCTCTCATCCTCGGCACACGCCTTGGCACAGGCTGCGACCGTGCTCTTGGTCTTGAGGATGTTCACCCACCCCTCGGACGAGTACCACACTCCACGCTCAACGTAGGAATCGCACACGCGAGGCTCCGGATAGAGTATTGGCGCCGCGAGGGCCACCAGCGCTAGGGCTGACAGCATACAACGTATCGAAATTTACAAGAAACGCCTCCCGGACTCGAGGTGAATTCCTTTGGCCGAGAGAGAGAGAGAGAGAGAGAGAGAGAGAGAGAGAGAGAGAGAGAGAGAGAGAGAGAGAGAGAGAGAGAGAGAAGAATTCTCTCTCTCAATTCCTTTGGCCGCGTTGGGTAGCGAGGATTGGTGTAACCCGGTAGGTAGGTAGAGAGAGAGAGAGAGAGAGAGAGAGAGAGAGAGAGAGAGAGATGTGGTGTGGGCGCGAGAATAGCTCCGCCGTTCATGGAGGCAACCGATGCGAGTCGACTGGTGTGTGTCGTCGTGGTTTCGTATCAAGAATTCTCTCTCTCTAGGTAGGTAGGTAGGTAGGAAGGTGAAGAACAGTCAGGCTCGGACTGGACACCAACGCGGTATGGGTGGACGCAAGACAGATGATGACGACACGCACGAGCGACACACAGACACAAACAAGCTCACAAGACACACAGCCAGCGGGCTGCCACACACCCTGAGTAGGCGTACACATCACTCCAGGGCCACGCCCCTCCTGTCGCCCCCCCCAGCACTCCAAGGTGCCAAGGGAACAAACAAGGGCACAACAAACAACAGACGACAGGAAGTGACGTGCGAGGCTAGAGCAGGCTTGCTCTACCTCTAGCAATCTCGCCGGCCGGCGAGGCACGGACGAGACCGTGTGTGGGGTCAGTGAGGTGTCTATGGTCGCCCTCCTCACGGGCTAGCCGCCAGCGGCTATCCCTATCTCGCACTCACTGGCGGTGACAATTCAATGTGTGAGTGTTTGCGAACAGAGGCACGTGTGCTAATTCTAGGCCGCACGTCGTGGCACTATGACGAAGGTAGACGTGCGGCTGCAGCGCGCCCGCCGCAGGCTCGGCGGTGCGCGCGTGTTAGCGATAAAGGTGCGGGTAGAGCCGTTCCCGACTTGTCGAAGGCGAGGCCTCTGCGACGAGTGCCAGTCGCGCTGCGGAGCCACGCCCTTCGAGCCGCGTCCCGTCGGCACTACCCTCGAGTGCTGTCGCCTTGGTTGGCGACACCCACTCGTCGAGGGCAGTCCGGCCGACGGGAGCCTGTCGCGCGCCGGCGACGAATGCGGCGGGGTGGGTGTGGGTACAAAGCGCCGCTTCGACGAATGAGGTTGGCAGGCTCCCCTCACGAGTCCGTTCAGACATGCCACACGCCCCTCGCAAGCGAGGTTAGTAGGCGCCCCTGGCGAGACCCGCAAGAGATGCGCCACCCCCCTCGTACCTATACTCCACCAATGAGGAGGTGAAAAGATCTTATCAGCCAGGCGGGCAGGGCAGGCGGGCAGGCGGGCGGGGTCAGGGAAGAGGGCCCTCGGGTTACGCCTCGCCCGGCCCCCTCCGAGGGGGGAAGGGGAAAGAGGGGGGGCCCTCGGGGTGCGCCTCGCCCGGCCCCCTCCGAGGGGGGAAGGGAACTATTCTCTGTCCATCTACAGCGTGGGTGGTGGTACACTGCGTCGAGACAGCTCCGCGTCGCGCCCTCCCTTCCTGGAATACTTACGACTACCCAGCGCGGAATACAATACGTAATTAATTAATGAATTAACTAATTAGGTTAGGACGTGGAATACTGTACTCGAGGTCAACTCATATCCCTCCAGGTTACCCCAGAAGAATAACTAAATCGAGCCGCGCAGTCGCGCCACCAGAGACCCGGTCAGTGCAGTTGGTCGCGCCGCCCCGCCCCTGCGTCGCCCGCCGCCGCACCGCGCCGCCGCGCCGCGCCGCCGCCTCGCGCCGCCCGTCGCCGCGCCGCGCCGCCGTCCGACAATTATTAATTCATTATTAATGAATTAATAAACAATTATACCACCCGCCGCCGCGCCGCCCCGCACTGCGTCGCCCGCTGCCTCGCCGCGCCGCCGCCTCGCGCCGCTCGCCGCCGCGCCGCGCCCCCGCCCGATGATTAATAATTAATAATTATTACCCGATTATTAATAGTGTGTGTGTGTGTGTGTGTGTGTGTGTGTGTGTGTGTGTGTGTGTGTGTGTGTGTGTGTGTTTGCCTGATGGCAGGGAAGTCCAAGGCAGCGGCGAGCGGCAGGTGGCGTCGGCGACGTACTCAGGACACGATGGCGAAGCCCACAGCGCAGGAGCTCGGCAGCAGCGCCGACAGCGGCCCCGCGCCGCGTCGGCGGCGGTCTGAGCGAGGCAGCCTGTACTCCTCAACCTCCTTGGCACTCCCCCGACGAGCGGCGCGCTATGCGGGCCCGCCGCGGGCGACGCGGGCGGCGAGCCGACGTGCGTGCCGCAGTCATAGGCAGCGCTGGCGAAGCGAGGAGGTCGGCGCAGGCCCCCAGATGCGGTCACAGCGAGAGAAGCGAGACAGCAGATGCTGTCGGAAGGGTGAGGAGCAGCCTGCCGTCGAGCGGCGCGCCGCACAAGCCCGCTGTAACCCCTCGCGAAAGAAAAGAATTTGGCTTGGCTTTTCTTTTTGCTTTCTTTTAGAAAAGAATTTATCGCATCGGCGGGCACGTCTCACCTGGCCGCGCTGGGCCGCTAGGCCGCTGGCACGCGGTTGATCGCGGCGCCGACTCCGCGGCGGCGCCATCTCACGCAGCGGGACGCGTCGCTTCGTCGGCGCCAAAGCAGACGCGAGCTCGCAGCGCGGCCGCGGCAGCAAAAACATCAAAGTCTACTTCTCCTTCTCTTCTCCAGGTGTCTATTATTTTTACTTGGCCGTACGTCATGCCGGGGTAGGTAGGGTAGGTCTGGGCCCTCTCGTCGGGTTTTTTCCTCTCTTCACGCCGGAATTTTCACAACAGAAAAAGACATTTTCCGCGGAAATCACGATGTCAACCCTCCCCAAGTGGGTGTTGGCACGATATAATGCTGAGCGGGAGAGAGAGGGGGGGGGGAGAGGAGAGGAGGAGAGGGGAGGAGATGAGAAGAGGAGAGGAGAGGAGAGGAGAGAGGAGGAGAGAGAGGAGAGAGGAGGGGGGGGGGGAGAAAAAAAGGGGGGGGGGGCACGAGAGGGAGGGAGAGAGGGAGGGAGAGAGAGGGCGGAGCGAGCAGAGAGTCTCAGGGGAGAGAGAGGGAGAGAGTGGAGAGAGTGGAGAGGGAAGAGAGAGAGAGAGAGAGGAGAGCCTTTGAGCCTTGGCACCAGCCAGGCAGTTGAGTTGGCCCTGGCACCAGCCTTGGCAGTTGATTTGGCCTTGGCACCAGCCTTGGCGGGCTGAAGGCGCCGGTGCGGTGGACCGTACCGCCGCCAAGACGTGCATGAATGGTGCGGGGGCACAGTGAGATGTTGTTGACAGGTGCGAGAGGGGCCCCCGTGTAGGGGGCAGGGCACTCTGGGCTCTGTTCCGCATCTCGGTCGAGGTCGAGCAAAAAGGTATGCAGCTGGGGTGGCAGCCCTAGGTGGGACGCAGTAGTCGTGCCCGCTTGGGCGCTCCTTGGACACCTGTGCCGGCCCTCGGCCTCACGAGCAAGCCACCCATTCGCAGGGCTCGACTCGAGCAAGCACGGAGGCAGCGCCTACCCCAACGTCGACGCCGCTCTGAAGTCCCTCGAGGAGTGGTCCTCCTCTGCACCCCCCAGCCCCGAGCGGTTCGGGAAGGTCGGTTCCAAGGTGTAGATGCCGCGCGCCACAGGCGAAACGCTCTCGTGTTTGAGTAGAGGTGCTGTGGAGCCCGGAACACAGCCGGCGCGCCATTGCGCGTGTCCTTAGGGGCCCGCGGGGGATGTGAAGTCGAGCTCAGCGCGAGCGCGAGGAAGTTTTAGTGCGGACGCCTCTTTCTTTGCGTCGCGTCGCATGCGCATGTCGACACTGAGAGGAGCGCATGTATTGCATGTGCCGGCATGAATGATGGTGTGACCGATCTGTGTCTGATCTAGTGTCTGGAGATGTGCTGTCGAGCGGCACGCAGGTCAAGCCCAGAGTGGCGCTGCGGCCGACGTACATTCCCGTAGGATTTTAAGGAAAGGAGGATTTTGTGACCGATGTACCAGGTATGCGGAATCCGACGCCGTGAATCCTATTGCAGCGGCGCCACGCTAGCCGAGCTTCGCCGTTTACCCGGAAATGAAGACGGATCTCGACACTCGGGACCCGATGTCGCTCGCCATCGACCGCGCCGAGCGCGACGCCGCCAGCGCCGCGCAGCTGAGCAAGCGCGCGAGAGCGCTCGCCGGCCGCATCCGCACGTCTCAGACTCACGACCGGCTGCCGTCTGCGCCACCGCCGCAGCAGCAGGGCTTCACGATCGGCGCTGCGCTCTCGCTCGACTCGTGGACCCTCGCCCAATCCTCTGCGCCGGGGCTGCGGGTCGCCACCTCGCCATCGTCGCTGCTGCTCGCCGAGTCGCGAGGATTCCTCGTGCTCGAGCCGGCGGCAGAGGCGCGGGCGGCGGCGCTGGGCGACTACGTGCTGCACCCGGCGGGCGAGGCCACTTCGCCGCGCGGCCAGGGCGGCATCTCGCTCCTGACGGCCGGCATCCACAAGGCACGCGCCACCCTCGGGTCGCCGGGACACATCCGCGACACGTCCGCGACACGTCCGAGACACGTCCCACAAGGTGCGCGGCAACCTCGGGCCCGGCGCGCTCGCGCTGCCGGCCGCGTTTGCAAAGGTCGGCCCGGTGGTGGGGCTGGCCGGACTGGCGGTGGTCTGTTTGCCCGGCATCTACGGCGTCATCACCCTGCGGGCCACGCCCATCCATGAAAGCTAACCCTCGCTCACCATGAGGGATGCCACGAACAGGCTTCCTCACTGCGGGCCAGGCCCATCCATGAAAGCTAACCCTCGCTCACCATGAAGGATGCCACGATCAGGCTTCATCACGCTCGTGCGCCTCAAGCGTCAGCTCAACGCGGCGGGCGCCGGCGTCAAGACGTTCGAGGACCTCGCCTTTCGCTCGTTTGGCCTCCTTGGTGTGCATGTAGGAAGAGAGGCGGACACAACAGTCTTGCCCAGCCACTCGACACCCGCGCGACTGAGGCGGTTGTGGTCACACTGGACGGGTACGGGTGGGACACAAGCGAGACGGAGAGACGGTCGCACTGGAGGAGACAGACACAGACGCACCGACGCCACACTCTTTGGCGCCGCCGCACCGCTCGGCCCTCTTCACGCCGCCGAGCTGTGAGCGCTTCACGCCGCCGAGCTGTGAGCAGGCCGCCGTGTGCTCGAGTCGACCGTCGTGCTGCTGCAGCTCGGGGTGGTGACGGTGTACATGGGGGCGCGCTCCTCCTCCGCAGCCACTGACCCTGACCCCACACCCACCCTAGCCCTAACCCTGGCCCTAACCCTAACCCTAACCCTAACCCTAACCCTAACCCTAACCCTAACCCCACAGGTGCTCTCCTCCGCGGCGTGCGCCATCGACGCGGCGCCGGTCGCGGGCTGACCGCCGCACCCCGGCCTTCCCTTTGTTGACGTGCGGCTTGACTGTGGCACATAGGCACCCTGCGACGACGGCGCCCCGCTGCCCCGCACCGTCGCTTGCGTCGCGGCGGTCGTGCTTCCCGTCTCGATGGCGCGCGAAGAGACTTAGCCGAGATGCCGCCGAGATGCAGCCGAGATGCAGCCGAGATGTGGTCGAGGCCAGCCGAGATGCAGCTTCCCACGACACGCCACGACACGCCCACGACGCTGTCCGTGTCACACCGTTCGTCCGCCCCGCGTCCCTCCCTCCCTCCTGCTCATCTCGCACAGGTGCAGGTGCCGTTGAGGCGCCGTTCACACCTCTCACTCCGCTGCCGACTCCGCCTCAGGTACGCGAGATCGCCTCGCTGATGCCTCTCTCCTTGCCGGGCAACGTCGCCATCCTCGCCGCCGTCGTCGGCGCCTCCAGCCGCGCTCGCCCCGCTCCTCCTCTGATGAGTGCCTCACCCTCTCCTCAACTCCTTGTGAGGCTCCGTCGGCTGCGCGGTGTCGCTCCTCTTCGCAGCGGCGGACGGCGGCGCCGCCGCGAACGGCACCGCGACAACGCTCAGCGGCGGCGGGGAGGGCGGCGGGGAGGGCGGGGCTGAGGGCGGCGGTGCGGGTGGCGGTGCGGGCGGCGGCGGCGTGGGCGATTGGCCGTGGCCCGAGGATGGCATGCAGGTGTGCGCCCCGCCCTCGGCTGTAGCTCGGCTACCTCTCGGCGCGGCTACGCCTCGGCTACACCTCGGCTGCACCTCGGCTGTCTCGCGGGGTGCCGGTGGCGCTCTTCTGTGAACGGCGCCTCTCCACACCTCCAGCTGTGAGCAGGTGGCGCTCTTCCTCGGCTCCGTCTTTTACGCCTTCGAGGGCACCGCCGCTCGTGCCGCCCCCCACCGACGGACCCCCTCCCCTTCGAACCCCCGCGAGCGTTCCCGTTGGTAGGGATCGCTTTGGTGTTGCCCATCGAGAACGCGCTCTCCGCGTCGGCCGCGAGCGGGAGCCGCTGCTTCCGCTACGAGGAGCTCATCGTCGTGGCAATGCTCTTCGTCGTCTTCCTCTTTGCTTGTGTCGGCGCGCTCTGCAGCCGAGATATGCAGCCGAGGCCCAGCCGAGGCCCAGCCGAGACACCAGCGGGTCGCCCCTCTGCAGCCTCGTCTCGCCGCCTGACCGCCGCGCCGGCTGAGACCCCTCCCCCCGTTCGCTCCCCCAGGCGCCCTCTGTGGCCTTGCCTTCCCAGACACCGGGGGCTCCATCGTCGCCTACCTGGCGCTGCTGTACCCCTCCTCTTCCGCCATGCAGCTGCTCAACGCCGCCGTCGCCGCCGCCGTCCTGTGCACCTACCCGCTGCAGCTCGCGCCCGCGATGCCGACGCTCGAGGCCGAGATTGTAGCCGAGAGGCGGCCGAGGTGCGGCCGAGGGGCAGCCGAGGGGCAGCCGAGGGGCAGCCGAGGGGCAGCCGAGAGACAGCCGAGGGGCAGCCGAGAGGCAGCCGAGGTCTGCCCAGAGAAGGGAGCTGCGCGAGAGGCCGGTGAAGCGGCGGTTCTTCCCCCCTGCTGCAGGCGGCATGCTGCGCCTCCTCCTCCTTCGCCGCCTCCGCCGCCGTCCGCTCCGCCATCGTGCTCGGCGGCGCCCTCGTGACGGTACCGCCCCCCCAGCCGGCCCTGAACACCACACTCGCGCCCGCACGCAGCCTCACCGGCCGCAGCAGCACCTCCGCACTGGTCGCCCGCCGCTCTCCTCTCCGCGCCCCTGCCTCTCACTCCGCCCGCCAAGCCCTCCTCCCGCCAAGCCCTCCTCTCCCACCCTCTCCCGCCCGCGCGCAGGTCGTCCTCCCCGACGTCGGGCTGCTCGTCGCCCTGGTCGGCGCCTTCACCACCACCACGATCGCCGCCTTCCCCTTCCTGATGCAGCTGCGGCTCGCGGCGGCAGGCGCCGTGCCGCCGCTCGGTTTCGGCCGCACACTCATGGCGGTGTGGATGGTCGCCTTCAGCGGGATGGTGATGGTGCTGGGCACCTACACCGCCCTCGGCGCCGTCTGTGGCCGTGGCGAGCCCTTGGAGTGAGGGCGTCCGAGGCGAGGACGCCCACACGGGCGCCGCGACCGCCGCGTCGCCGTGACCGCAACTCGCGCGGACTGCAATTTGTGTGTTTCCTGTCCGATCGCGACTCGACATGCACATGCACATGTACATGTACTCTCTTATTTACCGCATACGTATCCTGCCCGGAAAGAATCAAACGCTTATAACACCAAGAGACTCTCCTCTGACACTCCATTATGCAAATTGCAATGGATATCTGATATCTCGTCCAGGCTAGTGCCATTTCACTGTGGCACAGCTCGCGTTACAAAACCTTGATTTTGACCATTTGCGCCATTTCGTACCTCTCGGTGCCTTCCAGAGGCAGCTGCGACCCCGCCGA